AGATCTGCTGTGGCCTTCACCCAAGCCCTCCTGGCTCCTTCTTACATAATTATAGTACAATATCAAAACCAGGCATCTGACATCAGTATGGTGTGTGCGCAACTCCACCTTGTTTTGTCACGTGTGCATCTACCACTACAACCAGGATATAAGAGCCATTCATTAACACAAAGAGTTCCCTTGTGTGATCTCCTACACACATGTGTTCCCTGTCCTTCCATCTTTAAGCCCTGGCAACCAGAAATTGGCTCTGCAGCTCTATAATTTTGTCATCTAAAGAATGTCATCTAGGGGCTGGGGATTTAGCTCAGCCTCAAAGCGCCTGCCTGGCAAGCGCAAGGTCGTGAGTTCGGTTCCTGGTACTGGAGAAAAACCAAAACCAAAAAAAAAAAAAAAATAAAAGAATGTCATCTAAAGAGTGTGTGATCCTTTGAGGCTGGCTTTTCTCACTCAGTATAATGACCTCCACAATCTTCCACATCATTTTTGTTGCATGTATTGACACTTCCTGCCTTCTAATCACCCTCATGTCTGCAAATTCCACATCCCCAGATTCAACCAACCATGGATCAAATACATTCAAAAATAAAACTGCATCCATACCAAAAAAGTAAACCCTTTTCTTGTCATTATTCCCTAAGCAATACAGTGTAACAACTATTCACCTTGAATTCATATTTTATTAGGTATTAGAAGTACTCTAGAGATGATTTAAAGTAGATAGGAGAGGACTGGGATGTACTTCAGTGTTATAGCACTTACCTAGTATGTGCAAGGTCCTGGGATTGATCCAAAGCACGAAAGAAAATTAAATGAACTATACAGGAGGATGTGCCTAGGTTATATGAAAACATCCTGTCTTTTTATGTAAGGAAATTGAGCTTCCATAGATCTTGGTGTCTTTCGGGATCCTAGGTCAAATCACCCACAGACATCAAAGGATGACTATGTTCCACAGTATACATACATCACAATTTATTTAACCACTCACCTACTGAAGGACATGTTTTTAGGTTTTGGCTATTTCAAGTAAAGCTATGGTGAATTATTTGTACAGACTTTTGAGTGGACATATGTTTTTATTTCCTGGGGAATATGATGCCTAAGAGTATAACTGATGCCTCATATGGTAAGTATATTTAGTTCAGTTTTTTAAAGAAACTGACAAGCTATTTTCTAGAGTGTTTGTACCATTTCACATTCCCATGAGCAATGTATGAACAACCCAGGTTCATGGCACCCTCAGTAGCATTTGGTATTGCTTTTTTTTTTTTTTTTTTATTTGAATAGGCGTATACTGATATCTTGTCATGGTCTTAATTTGCTATTTACTAATGGCCAGTGATGTTTAAATCTTTCCATGTGCTTATTGCTACATATATATCCTATTCAGTGAAATGTCTCTTCATGTGCTTTGTCCATTTTTTTTTTTTTTCAGTATAGGGCATAGGACCCAGAACCTCATGCATGCTAGACAAATGCTCTACTACTGAGCTATGTCCCCAATCCCTTTTGCCATTTTTAAATTGGATTGGTTTTTATTATATGTTAAAAATTTTGCTGGGATATAACTAACATATGCACAACATACCTATCTAAAGTGTAGGATTCAATGGTTTCAAATATATTAACTGAGTTATGAAACCATTGCTGTGATTTTAGGGCATTTACTCCCTCCCCAATTGCTCACTTCCTCTCATCACCCCCTCACCCACAGCCTGAGGCAAACCCTAAATCTGCTTTCTGCCTCTATAAACTTTCCATTTCTGGATATTATATATAAATGGAATCATAAATATGTAGGATTTTGTGACTGGTTTCTTTCACTTAATATTCTAAGGTCCATCCATGTTGTGACAACTATTATAAGTACTTCATTAATTTTTTATTGCTAAATATTTCATTGTATGGATATACCATATTTTATTTATTCACTCATCACTTGAGGGACATCTGGGTTGAGCCTGTTTTTGGCTCTCATGAATAATGGTGCTATGAACATTTGTGTTCAAGTTTCAGGGTAGACCTGCTTCATTTCATATATATGTGAGTGGGGCTACAGAGTCATGCAGTAACTCCATGCTTAAGTTTTTGAAGAACTTGCTGGACAATTTTACATTCTCATTAGCAATACATAAAAGAGTCAGTTTCTGCACATGCTCTCCAGCACTTGATGTGGCTATACTTCTTTTTCTTGGTTTTTCTCCTGTACCGGGAACCGAACTCATGACCTTGCACTTGCCAGGCAGGCGCTTTGCCGCTGAGCTGAATCCCCAGCCCCATGTGGCTATACTTCTAAAAAAATTTTTTAGTTTCTTTAATGTGTATGTCATAGTGGTATCTTACCATGGTCTTGGTATGCATTTACCTAAAAAAGCTAGTGAACATCTTTTTATGTGATTATTTTTGATCTGTACATCCTCGTTGGTGAAATGTCTCTTTATATCTTTTGTCCATCTTGTAATTAGATTGTGTGACTTTTTTATGTTGCATTTGAGAGTTCTTCACATATTCTTTCTACAATGAGTCTTTTGTCAGATATATAGTTTGCAAACGTCTTCTCCAAGTCTTCATATTCTTAATACGGTCTTTCACAGAGCCCAAATTTTTAATTTTTTTAAAGAGAAATAAAACAAAATAATGACCCAAAAACACAAAAACAATAAAAATGATACAGAATTTCAAAACAAGGTGATAGGGAGTTAACAATGGTTGTTATATTACATATTGTTATCTTCAACAAAGTTGCTCAGATCACCAGATGTAAGGATGCAAGATTGATCAAACAATTAAAGAAAATAAAAAAATAATAAAAACCCACTAGAAACGATACAGAGTTTCACTAATCAAGGTAGTAAGGGTTTAACAATGGTTGTTATATTGCATATTGTTGTCTTCAATTTAGTTGTTTACATTACCAGATATAATCATGCAAAACTGGTCATAAAAAGAAAAATTAAAGCATCATCTGTTCCTTCAATAAACCAATAGACATCAGCAGTGCAATTATCCCAGCTAGCTCTGTATATCCACATATATTTTTCCCTTATTTCTTTCTTTTCTCCTTTCCCTCATCCCAGTTGTTCCTTCTCCCTGAGCAACCTCTTTCCCTTTCACAATATCTATTGTAACTTTTGGGTTTTATTTACTTTTTCAGATTTTTACACTAGGGAGACAATATGATGTTTATACATGCGGGTCCAAATTTTTAATTCTGATGAAGTCCAGTTTATTAATTTTTAAGGATCAGGCTTTTGGTGTCATGTTCAAAAACACATTATCAAGCCCTAGATTGTGAAGAGTTTTTGAAGAGCCTCCAACCTATTTTCCACAATAGTTGTGCTAATTTGCATTCCCACCAACCGTTTGTGAATGTTCTCTTCTCTCTACGTCATTGCCAGTACAGGTTAACTTTTGCCTTTTTCAATAATATCCATTCTTACTGGAGTGAGGTGAGGTGATAGCTCGTTGTGGTTTGGATTTGCCCTTTTCTCTGATGATTAGTGATGTTGAGCATTTATACATACCTCTTGGCCATTTGAATGTCGTCTTTTTTAAGAAGCATCTATTTAATTCTATTACCCATTTTTATATTTTCTTTTATTTTCTTTTGGTTTTTCTCCAGTACCAGGAACCGAACTCATGACCTTGCGCTTGCCAGGCAGGCGCTTTTGCCACTGAGCTAAATCCCCAGCCCTATTACCCATTTTTAAGTCAGATTTTGTGTTTTTTGTTTTGTTTTTGGTACTGAGTTGTTTGAATTCCTTATATATTTTGATTACTGAGCCCTTCAAATGTATAGCTTGTAAATATTTTCTCTCCTTCTGCAGATTGTCTCTTCACTCTGATGATGGTTTCTTTTGCTGGGCAGAAGCTTTTTAGTTTGGTGAAATCTCATGTGTCTATTCTTTGCTTTGTTTTCTGTGCTTTTATCATCTTACCCCAAAAATTCCTCATACTTTCCAGTGTCTTGAAACATTTCTCCCAGAAGCTTGCTTCAGCTCTTACATTTAATTCATTTTTAGTTTTTTTTAAACCTAATCTCCCTAGCACCACTTATTTAAATGACTGTCAATAGTTTTAGCACCCTTGACAAAAATCAGTTAGCTGTAGATATACACAGTTACTTATAGCCTCTCAATTTTGTTCATTGGTCTATGTGTGTTTTTATGCCAATACTATCCATTTTTATGTAAAAAGCTCAACATCACTAACTTTGGTTATTTTACATTTGTAGTATATTTTGAAGTCAGGAAGGATGGTATCTCCAGTTTTGTCTTTTCTTCTTTGCTAGAGTATTTAGTACTTAAATTTCCCTCTTGTGCTTAAGTTGTGTTCTCCTCAAAATCAGTGTGTTGTATTTTCATTTTCTTTCAGTTCAATATATTTTTTTAACTTCCCTTGAGAATTCTCCTTTGGCCCATGGATTATTTAGAAGTAGGTTGTTTAGTTTCCAAGTGTTTGAAGATTTTCCTATTAATTCTCTATTACTGACATCCAATTTGATTTTGCTGTGGTTAGAGAACATACTCTCTATACTTTAGCGTATTTCAAATTTCTGAGGTTTGTTTTATTGTCCTAGATATAAGTCACTTGTTATGTACTCCACGTTCTTGAGAAGAATAGGTACTATGCTGTTGTTGAGGGGATAGTTATATGTATTTTGGTTAAATTCATTGTTGAAGATGCTGTTGAGCTCATATGGATCCTTGCTGATTTTCCAACTAGTTATTTTACCATTTATTAAGGCTATTGTGGAAAAGCCAGCTTGAAAGCTGATCTGATGCTAAAAAATCTGTATGCTGAAAATAAGACCTGGCCGTGGACGTTCAAGTACTCCTTCCAGTCTGACTCGGAGCTCACATCCCCTCCTTGATCTCTTTCCCTTGCTGGGCGAGACTGTGATGCCTGTGGTCACCCTCAGAGCCACAGAGAGGCAGGGGGTGTGGCCAAGAAGGGTGAAATCAGTCACGGGAGGCGTCACTGAACTTCTCCTTTCACTCTTAGATGCTGCCAGGGTCCATGAAGACGGGAGACACCAGGAAACAGGTAAAAGCTGTTTTCTCTTTTTTGTGTGTGTTCGGCACTCAAAGCACAGAGTGTTCACTCTGTGTGGGACACAGTTCCCAGAGATGGGAGCACAGCCGGGACCACCCTCGTCTCTCTTGCCACACTACAGCAGGCTGTAGCTGGGCTCCTGTCTTTGAGCAAGGCTTAGGAGTCTTCTGAGAATGGGGTTGGTCACTGGATGCTTAGGAGTGAATAATGGGGTCTGGGAAACTGGCTCACAGGCCTAGAAAGGCCTACATGGGGCAGGGCACAGATTTGGACAGCGTACCCTAACGATTATGGCTTTCACCCCTACCTGCTTCCTGAGCTCTCCACTTCCCGGGCACAGTCCCCCTTTTCTAGTATATGTGCTGCTGACACGAGCACATGGTCCCCCTTTTCTTATGCTTTAGAGATTGCCCGTGCTGGTGGGCATGCAGTCCTGCTGTGGAATTGCCCCTCTCTGGCTCAGGTAAAGATCTGACCCTACAATCCTGCAAAGTTTTTGGTCGATAAGTTAATACAGATCTCATGGCCAAAGAAGGGTGGGCAGTGTGATACACTCTAGCCCTTGTTTGGAGATTTATGATGCATATAGCGCAGTGATGGTGAACCTTTTAGAGCTTTGAATGACACAAACATGTGTGCTGTGACATGCATGCCACAGGGTAGCTATCACTGATCAGAGCTTTTTAAAGGTTTGAAAAGTCCCGGGGTAAAGAGTCTTGCTTAACTTTTTAACCCAGCTTTTCCCAAGCAAACTGTGACTATGATGACTTTTTTTGTGTGTGAAACATTCTTGGCCCCTGCAGCCCTGAAGACAGTTCTGCCTGGGAGGATTTCACCTGGCTTCATCCCACTCATCCTAACCCATGTCCAGGGGCCAGGTCTGTCCCTAACACTGGGGACGGAGCCCCCTCCTGCTTTCAGTAAGCAACTTAGCTTTCCCCACAGCTGCACCAGACAGCCAACAGGCCTCAGCCTGCAGCCTGCTGCCTGGGGAGATAAGCAGCCAGAGGGGGTCATTGAAGCGATGCTGGCATGGGAAATGTTGGTGAGGTGGGTGGAGGGAACGCGGGTCCGTGCTGACACCGGAGACACACTCTGTGGGCGCATCCTGCCCCGGCTCCCTGGGGGCCAGCACAGAGATTACAGCCATATAAATAGGGACTTAAATTTAGCTCTATGTAAATGTAAATGTAACTCTATGCAAAAGTGTAAGGTAGTGCAGGGTGAGCTTGTTGGAGAGAGAGACAGAGACAAAGAGACAGAGAGAGAATCTTTTGCAAATTGGTGGCCCCGCGGCTGCCTTCCGCTCACAGATAAGTCCTGTTGGCCAGCACGGTTTCTCCCCAACCCCCTGGTCCTGGGGACTGAACCCAGAACACACTGAGTTACATCCTCGGTCATTTTTCATTTTTTATTTTGAGAGAGGGTCTGGCTAAGTTGCTAAGTTGTTCAGGCTGGACTCAAACTCACAGTCTTCCTGCTTCTGCCTCCAAGCATGGTGAAATTATAGGTGTGCACCTGGTGTGTGTTGTTTTTATTTTGTTTTTGGGGATTTTTTTTTTTTTTTGGTTTTTCTCCGGTACCAGGAATCGAACTCACAACCTTGTGCTTGCCAGGCAGGCGCTGTGCCGCTGAGCTAAATCCCCCGCCCGTGTGTTGTTTTTAAAGCAGGACATTTCGCATGAAAATCTGGCTGCTTCTTTCACTGAGAGCAGTGGAAGATCAGACAACGCTGAGCCCCTTTCCCGCTTGGCAATAGCTGGATAAACTGAGACAGTCACCACCTTGAGACAAGGTAGGACTTTTGTCCTGGGTGACTGATGTTTCTACCCAGTCCCTGGAGCACGTGTGTGGATCCCTTGGACCACATTCGCCACCTAAGACCTTTCTGTTGCCTCTAAATGATCTCCTGGTTTCATACGTCATGACTGGTTTTAGAATGACTTTTTACCTCATTTTTAAAATCAAGGTTTCACCATGACTCTGCCCTTTGTAAAACCCTTCACCAGTGGCCTCTAAGGAAGATCCCTGTTGCCCAGGGCATGAGGTTCAAACTGCAGTGGTCTGGTGCTACTCTGAGTCTGAGGGCTGGACAGGAAGTTTAGACAAGTACAGGTGGATGAATGAATGGATGGGAGGAAGAGAGGGAGGGAGGAAGCAAGAAAAGGGGAGGGAAGCTCTTGCCCTGAAGAACAAGTTCACTGACCCAGGAAAGGCACCCCCAATTCCACATCCCCACAATGCAACTCGACATGGCCCCCAGGGTCAGGAGGAGCTCAGTAAGTGGGCAAGAAATAAGTAACCAGATGGATGAAAGACAAACTCTTTTTGGCTCAGACTCCCACCTGACAGGACAACATGCATCTCCTCGGCTCCGGGCTCCTGCTGCTCCTGTGGCCAGGCAGGTACCCGGGTTCTGGGGAGTCAGTGGGTGCTGGAGAAGGAGGGCAGATCTGGGCCAGAGGAGAGGAGCATGGAGTGGGGTCAGGCAGTGCGCACACGGGGACTTAGTTGTGCTGTCATTCACGTCTTGTTCCTCCTGTGTATCTCATCTGTCCCTCTGTCTTCAGAGAGGATCTCTTATTCCTTTGAAAGCTTTCCACACCCTCCCTAATAACACTTTCTGATCGCTGTTATGGGTTTCAGAGTACTTGGCTTTCTGTGCATCAGTTGGCTGGACATTTAAACACCCTGAAATGATCTACGCCTGGGAGGGGGCCTGCGTCTGGATTCCCTGTACGTTCAAAAACAAGGAGAATAATGAGCTCCTGGATAACTTCACACTGTACCACAATCCTGTGTTTGTCGAAGCCACCAAAAGCTTCAATGGGACTGTTCTCTATCGGAAGATAGGGACAGAGGAGGCCTTTTCTGCTGAGAAAAGGGTGAATAAGGCAGAAAACAATTGTACCCTGAGCATCAACCCAGTGTATGTGAAAGACAGTGGCAGGCTGGGGATGAGGGTGACATGGAAAAAAGACAAAGAGAAAAAAGATGAAGAGGAAGACAAATGGATGGATTACGTGCACCTCAATGTCTCCAGTAAGGCCTTGGGAAGGGGATGCTCGGACTCAGCAGAGAGGCAAGGAGGGAGGTGGGAAATACTCGACTGCTGGGACAGGGGTCACACACTGAGTTGCAGCAGGGGCCAGGTACGGGACACCGGGGAGTGACATGGGTAGCACAAGATGGGGCTGTGGTCAACTGTGGCCAGAGCACCTGGCCCGCCTCAGGTGTCCCCTTGGCCCTCATCTCCTGCCCATTCTGGAGTCTGGGTTCCAGCTTGCTAGATCTTTTGATCTTTCAGTAGAGGATAGAGACCCAGATCTGTAAGTGAAATCTCCTGATGTGTTCATGTTGATGGCCGATTATAATCAGACCTTTAAGGTTAGATGACTCCGGGGCATGGAGATGAGCCATCAGATAGGGCCAGGGGCTTCTGCCCTACAGAACGTGGTCACTCCACTTCTTGGCCTGTTTCTCCAGTGGCCAGTGCCACTCAGCCCTGTGTTTGGGTGAGAGATTCTGCTTCAGCCCCTGCCGTCTAAAGGGTGGTCCAGCCCGGGGAGAGCAAGTCGCCCAGCGCATAGCCCATCCTACTAAAGGGAAGCTGTGTTTGGGGGGTGGTCTCCAAAACTGAAGCCATTACACAAGTACAAGTGTGTCATCAAAGCTCACAAGTGCATGTTGAACTAAATGGGCCGAATTCAGGGGTGGTGGGAAGAATGATCTTGAAACCATTTAGAAAGTAATCATCAGGAAGTGAAGATAAAGCACAATTCTACAGAGACACTTAGTATCCCCAGGGTCTCTCAGAGCATAGTTTTGGCTGGCAAGGAGGCAGATGGATTGGCCAGGGATCCCCACAGGGATTATTTGAGGCACGTGCCCAAAGCCAGGGGTGAACAGCTAGTGTGTCCATGGGTCTCTAACTTCCCAAGCCCCCATATCACCCCTGCTCTTTTGCAGAAACCCCTCTTCCACCTCATCTCCAGCTCTCCACTTCAAGAATAGAGGAGTCCCAGCCAGTCACTGCCACCTGCTTGCTGAATTTTGCCTGCTTTGGGTATGACATACAATGGCATTGGTCCCTGGAGGAGCTCAACCTCACCTCGCCTTCCTCCCAAAACTTCACCTCCCTTTCCACCGAGAAAGTCTTCACCCAGAGCCAGCTCACGTTCCGGCCGCAGTGGACCCACCATGGGAAGACACTGAGCTGCCAGGTCCTGCATTCTTCCAAAGTGCTGTCTGAGGCAGCGGTGCAGCTGGATGTGAAGCGTGAGTCTCCCTGATGCCCCCCTGGGGAAGACGCTGTCCTTGTCACCTTCTCCCCAGCCAGCCACTGGGGCCCACCAAGGGTAAGAGGAGAGGGGTGTGCAATCAGCCTGTGGTTGGTCACCGAAAGGAATGACCCAGGCTCTTCCACTGTCCCCCTTTGTCAGCCCTTGCGTTGAGGACACAGATTCATTTTGTCTCTGCTTTGGCCCAGCAGAATGAAACAATCTCTCCCCCAGTTATTAGCAAGCTTTGGGGATCATCCAGTCAGGTTTCTTTGTTCCCCCTTGAGCAGAAATTTTTCACATCATTACTTTGTACTTCATTCATTCCTTCATTCATTCATTCTCATTCAATAAATATTTACTGCAGCTCTAGCAGGCACCAGACCTCATTGTGGTTGCCAGCTAGGAGAAGGATACAACAGTGAGTTTTTGGCTTGTTCCCCATGCAGCTAGCATTGCAGAGAGGCAGACAAACCCCAGAAAGATTCATAGAGAAATGCTGAGCATAATCACAGCCAATGGCATGTATATTGAGAAAAAATACAACAGGGTGAGGATGGGGGTGATGGATGGAAACCTCTCTGAAGAAGGCAAATGCTTAGGCTGATTGAAAGATGGGAAAGACTAGGTCAGGAGAAAAGCATTTCATGGAGAGAAAAGATCAAGCATACACCTGTAATTCCAGCAGTTTGGGAGGCTGAGGCAGGAGGATTGCAAGTTCAAGCAAGACTGGGTAACTTAGCAACTTAGCAAAATCACGCCTCAAAACTTTAAGGGCTGGGGATGTAGTTCGGTGTAAAGGACCTGGATTCAATCCTAGTACTGAAAAAAAGGTGCAAGTGCTAAGGCTTGAGGTGGGGGCTTTGTTGTCAGCGATACAGGCAAAAAGTCACAGAGGTTGAAGTTCACTGCCTTTGAGGGTCACAGGGTAGGAGAAGAGATAGAGGAGGCAGGACATTAGGTCTCCTGAGCTGTAGGAAGGGCTTTGGGTTTTAGTCCTGTGTGTGGAATCTATTGGGTGGCTTCAAGCAGGGAGTGACACCTTCTGATGGACAGTGTTAGGAATCCTACTGGCTGCTGGTAGGGGATGTGGAGAAGGGAAAAGCAGAGAGATGCATGAGGAGGCTGTGACAGTCCCCCTGGGTTGACAAGGGAACCATGTTTGTGCAAGCTGCTGCTTTGTCAGAATAAAAGCATCACCATTTCTCGACACCTCCCGCCCCGTGAGAACCCCCTGTCTCCTCCCCGACTGCCCCTCTGTTCCTCCAGACTGTCCGAAGTTGAAGGTCGAGGTCTACCCCAGAGAAGCTGTTGTGATGAAGGGGGAGTATGTGAACATGACGTGCCAGGTCACCAGCAGCAACCCAGAGCACAAGACTATATCCTGGCTCAAGAACGGCGTCCACATGCAGGAGCAGCAGCAGCCCACGCTAACTCTGCCCAAAGTGACCAAGGAAATGCAAGGGACTTACCTCTGCCAGGCCTCCAATGATGTGGGCCTGGGGAAGTCGGAAGAAGTGAATGTCAAAGTGCTGTGTGAGCCTCCTTGGACCTGGCAGGGGAGGTTAGCGGGACCCTCGAGAGGCGACAGCAAGGGCTGTCATGGCTGCTCAACAGCTTGGAGTGCTGTCCTTACTTCCCCATTTGCCTCTGCCCCTTCTTCCAGATGCGCCAGAACCTTCCACGGTTCAGTTCCACCCATCACCCGCAGAGGAGGGAAAACCAGTAGAGCTGATTTGTATATCACCGGCCAATCCTCCTGCCAAAAATTACACTTGGTTTCACAACAAGGAAATCCTGGAAAACACAGAAGAGAAAGTCTGGATCTCCAGAGTTCGCCTTGAGCATGCTGGGAATTATTCTTGCTTGGCAGAAAACATTTATGGCCGTGGAGAGAAGGGCCAGGGTGCTGAGCTGGATGTCCATTGTGAGCAGTCACGGGCCTCTGGCTCCTGGGAGAGAACAGGGAAATGAGGGAAAGAGGAGGGTAGATAGGGTCCAGGGGATTCTTGGGCTCCTGGAATAAAAAGCAAGCAGAAGCCAGGGCCTCCCGGTATATAAACTCCTTGGGCTTTATTGTTCCTAGTTGAATTCCTAGTACCTAGACCAGGGCCTGGGCCCTAGAAGGCACTCAGTAGATGTTGAATGAATGAATGAATGAATGAATGAATGTAGATGCCAGGTCTCCCCAAGGAATATGGAAACATGGAGTCACCAGGCAGTGGTTCTGAAGAGGTTCTGAAAGTTTCAAGGACAATTGGGTCAAATGTCTCTTCATTATCAAATTACCTCTTCATTGGGTCAGATTACATCTTCATTGTCAGATCTCTTCCACACTGTGAGTCTTTTCTTTTTCTTTTTTTTTTTCTTTTTAATACTGGAAATTGAACCCAGGGCCACCCCTAGTGCCTTTTAAAATTTAGTTTGAGACAAGGGCTCACTAACTGACTAAGTTGCAAAGGCTGGATTCAAACTTGCAATCCTTCTGCCTCAGCTTCCCATAGTGCTGGGGTTACAAGTGTGTGTCACCACCCCAGACCTGAATTTTGTTACTGAGTTGAGCCCAGGACAAAGAGAATCTATAGGTTTGATCCTTGGACCTCGAAATATCATGTGTGGTCAGGGATGGTCAAATATTTTATGGCTACACAGTGGGATTTATAGCTGCAGGAGCAACAGCAGCAGGAGCAACAGCAGCAGGAGCAACAGCAGCAGGAGCAGCAACAGCAGCAGGAGCAGCAACAGCAGCACTGTTTATTGAGTGTTTTTTGCACATCACACTCTGCTCTAAGGGCATTATCTTAGCTCAACCTTCGGAGAATTCCATGAGGTTCAACCCTCTCAGGAACCCATTTGACAGACAAGTAAAGGCCCAAAGGCCACAGTCTCATAGCTCTAAGAAGTAGGGTCTGACTCCAGAGCTGTGCTCTTTTTTTTTTTAATCCCCTTGTACTAGGGATTGAACCCAGAACCTCAGGGATGCTAGGCAAGTGCTCTACCACTGACCTATATCTCCAGCCCTTTTTATTTTTTACTTTGAAACAGGATCTTGATAAATTCCTTTGGCTAGCCTTGAACTTGCAATCCTCCTGCCTCAGCCTCTGAAGTAGCTGAATCACTGCACTTCACAATAGCTGTGCTCATTTCTCTTTTCTTTCATTCTTTCTTTCTTTCTTTTTTGTCTTTTTGAGACAGAGTTTCACTATGTAGTTCAGGTTGGCCTTGAACTCACTTTGTAGCCCAGGCTGGCCTTGAACTTGCAGCAATCCTCTTGTCTCAGCCTCCTGAGGGCTGGGATAATAGGTGTGCTACCATGCCCAGCAATAGCTGTGCTCTTAACCCATGTATCACCTTCTCTCACACCATAGGCAGGCAGATGGCCAGGGCAGCATTCTGTCCTCACAGATGCAAGAGGGACGTATGAGTCCTCATTGGGCTACTTAGGAACTTTGTGCTGTGGGGGGACAGGGAGAGGGAAGAGGAAGCAAGAAGGAAAGGTGTTATTGCAGCTGGCGGAGTTTACTTACCTCTCTGGTCTACTTTCCAGATCCCCCCAAGGAGGTGACTGTGGTGATTCAAAACTCCACACTGATTCAAGAAGGAGATACCGTGAAGCTGCTCTGTAGATACCAGTCCAGTAACCCGGATGTTACCACTTACTCCTGGAGCCCAGAAAACTTCTGGAATGGGAAATCCACTAAAGAGCTGTGGATTTACAAGATTGCCTGGAACACCCCACCTATCACCTGCAAAGCCTGTAACCAGTGGTGTTCAGAGTCACCCTCCATCAGCCTGGGTGTCCAGTGTGAGTGACAGGGCAGGGAACCTGAGGGGTGGTCCCAAGGGAATCTGGGGTTGAAAGGATAAGGAGCAGGAGCCTGGGCTACCATCTTCCACAGAAAATTGAGAGATAAGAGCCAGACCCAGGGACAAGGGAACAGGAAGTGCTGGGGTCAGCAACAGGGGAAGAGATGGGAGATGTCAGCCTGGACCCTGCCCTGCAGATGCACCCAGAGATGTGAAGATCCTGCAGATTGGACCCAGTTCGGAGATTCACGCTGGGAACCAGGTGCTCCTCCGATGTACCTTCTCATACAGCAACCCCAAAGAAGTCCACTTCTTCTGGAAGAAAAACGGAAGTCTTCTGCAGGAAGGAAGTGATCTGGTTTTCAACTCTATATCCCCAGAAGATGCTGGAAATTATAGCTGCTCAATCAATAACTCCATAGGACAGACCACATCGGAGATCTGGAAGCTCCAAGTGCTGTGTGAGTGGCAGGAACTGGAGGCTGGGAGTGGAGAAGAGCAGGTAGCCGGCTGCACAGGCCCTGACTTGGTTTCCCTTACAGATGCACCCCGGAGGCTGCGTGTGTCTTTCACCCCAGCGAACAGTGTGATGGAAGGGAGGAAGGCAGCCCTGACCTGTGAGAGCGACGCCAACCCTCCCGTGTCACACTACAGCTGGTTTGACTGGAATAACCAAGACCTCCAGTATGATGGTCAGACGCTGAGGCTGGAGCCTCTGCAGATCAAACACTCAGGCTCCTACTGGTGTCGGGGGTCCAACAGGCTGGGTATGGGCGACTCACCCCCCAGCACCCTCACCGTCTACTGTAAGTCCCTGCCTTCTTTCAGATGTGTTCTTGTCCTGCTTGCTCCTTCAGCTTCTGCCCAAAGATGGGCCTGTTGGACTGTGGCCTCCATGTCCCACTTCCTTCCCCTCTGCCTTGTCCATGCCTCTGGAGGGTTCTCCCTTTCCTGCTCCGCAGGTCTTTCTCTCTGTCTATACCCTTGCTTGAGTGTCTCCTTCCTGTGTGTAGGATTCCCACTCAGGCTGTGCCCGCTTTCCAGACATCCCAAGTTCTTTCTCTCTCTCTCTCTCTCTCTCTCTCTCTCTCTCTCTCTCCCTCCTTCCCTCTTTCTCTCTCTCTCTCTCCTTCTTTCTTTCTCTCCCTCCCTCCCTCTTTCTCTCTCTCTCTTTCCCCCTTGATAGGCTCCTTTCTATTTTTAGAGTTTATGAGGAAGATAATACAAGTACATGGTAAAAACAATTTTAAGCCTAAAAGGGTAAACAGACAGACACTCTCACTCTTGATCCTGAGAACTTGAGTCCCTTCCCTGTGAGCAACTTGTCAGATCTCTGCACAGGGACAGGTTTCCCACACATGCTCAGTGTTCATATATAGATCTACATCTATGCCTCCTTCCTCATTTTACAAGTGACAGCAGAGCTCCCAAGTTCACACACTGCCCTGGACTTCTCTTTTTCACATGTAATAAGAAGTCTTGGAGACTGTTCTGGAACTGTGCCTAGATGGTGTCTAAAGATGATGGTACTGTCTCAGATGAATGGCGGCAGCCACGGCTGTAAGAATAGAGATTCATCACTGCAAAGCTGGAGGACAGGAGGCTAGAGGAAAGGATCCTGAGCATGCCATTGGGAAACGCACTGGGCACTGCATAAAACACTGCCCGGGACTCCACTTCTCAGATACCAGAGTTCTGCCTCCCTCTCAGGGCTGCTCTGTGTGCCCTGTGAGTGCTGCCCATCCCATCTCTCCTGTGCCCCCTCCTCCAGGCCAAAGTGTGTGGTCTTTTGCACTGGGCATCTCAGCAAGGACAGGTGCAGGATACATCCCCACCTGGAATTTCTGGATCCAAAGCCTGGAGCATTTCAAATTCTAATAGTCTGGTCAAACTTCCCTGATGGTTGTACCCATCTATGAGGCTGGAAGTAACAGCTCTGTGCGGGTTCCTGCTCCAAAGAAAGATGTAGTTCTTTGCTCCTACCAGGAGGTCCCAAGGACTGCAGCTGCTTCTCTCTCTTTCTCCGCATCACTGTCTCATGCTTGCGGGAGAAGACATGTAAGACCGGGACTGGAGACCTGGAGCGTGTGTTCCAGGCCAGTACCACAGCGCAGGGTGAACACGTTCTCTCCTTTCTCCACCAGACAGTCCAGAGACCATTGCCAGGCGAGCAGCCATCGGGATTGGGTCCTGCCTGGGCATCATCATCCTGGCCATCTGGGGAATGAAGTTTCAGAAACAGTGAGCTCTGCCCCCTGCCCTCCCCGGGTGCATCCCCCATTTCCCACCTGCAGAATCTGTACCCTCCTCTTCCCGTTCCCTCAACTCACAGAGCCTTTGTTTCTTAGCAGGAAGAGGGCACAGAGCCAGCAGGAGCTTCAGGAAAATTCCAGTAGTCAGAGCTTCTTTGTGCGAAATAAAAAGGTAGAAATGCAGGGGAGCCCTTGAAGACTCTGTGTGAAGAAGAGTGATAAAAAGTCTTCTGGGGAGATCTGGGGAGTCAGAAGTCAGGGGAGGGAATTGGGGAGGAGAAAGCCAGAGCCCAACCCCGTCTGTCTCCCAGGTGAGAAGAACGCCCCTCTCGGAAGGCCCCCACTCCCTGGGATGCTATAATCCGGTGATAGAAGATAGCATCAGCTACGCCACCTTACACTTCCCTGAGACGGACACACCGAGATCTGGGTACCGAGGAGCTGGGAGGGTCGCACCCTGGGAGGGATGTGAGAAGGGAAAGCTCCTGTCCCACCTGCCAAACACAGCCATGCATTTGTACCCATTCCTCCCCCATGATAACCCCAGGGGGTGGTAACAGTCACAGGAAGGGGACCTGTTTCCTCAAGTCAGAAGCACATGAGTCCTGAGTCAGCCTTGGCTTCACAGGCCGAGATGCTGTGATACGGTTGCAGGCCTCTTCATCAGCTCCTGGGCAAGCACTGGGCGCCCCAGAGATTCAGTCATTTTCCCATGAGGGCTGGAGCCTGGGGTCTTGCTGGGGCCCTAAGGGAGTCAGTAGAAGGAAGGTTCAGGGAAAGGGTCCATTTATGGCCATTTATCTGCTCTCTCATTCAGAGATGCAGGGACCACTGAAATGCAGGGACCCCTCCCAAACAGTGATGACATGGTCACATACTCGGTGGTGCAGACACGTCATGCGGTAAGAGTGCAGGGCTGTGGGAGGCTTGGAGACCCGGAGCTGGTCTCAGCTGGGAGCCCTATGTAGAAGGACTTGAGTGGACATTCATGGTGACTCAGGCTGGGTATCATCTGGAGAGGGTTGCTGCTTTATCCTGTCTCCATTGCTGTAACTAAATACCTGAGACTGGGTCATTTATAAAGTGATGAGGCTTGCAATTCTCATAGTCCAAGATTAAGAGGCTGCATCTGGTGAGAAACTTCTTCCTGATGGGGACTCTACAGAGTCTGGAGGTGGCGCAAGTCATGGAACAATGGTGTGGGGGAGATATATTTATTTATTTATAGTACTGGGGATTGAACCCAGGGCCTTTCTACTGAGCTACTTCCCTAGCCCTTTAAAAAAAATCTTCTTTTTGGATACAAGTTCTTGCTAAACTGCTAAATTGCCCATGCGAAACCCAAACTTGTGATCCCCTTGCCTTGGCCTCCCAGAGTGCTGGGATTGCAGCTGTGTACCACCATGCCTGGCTGAGAGCTCAGTTTTATAACGCAGCTCTCCTCTCCATCAGCACATTAACCAGTTAATCCACTGGGCCTGGGAAATAGCTCAGTGGCACAAGTGTCTGCCTGGCAAGCGCAAGGTCATGAGTTTGATTCCCAGTACCAGAATAAATAAATAAATAAGTGACCAGTTAACCCATTAACCCAATTAAGTCCCAAAGTTTCCGCCTTCGATGCCATTAACAGATGAATTTGGGGATTAATTTTCCAACACATGAAATTTAGGGGACGCATTCAAATCATAGCAGTTGCTCGGGCAGAGCTGCAGTCAGAGCCAGAGCAGATGCCTCTGTTTCAGAGGAGCTGCTAGTTTCTGGATAAGATGGCTTGGCTTGGGCTTGGCTCCCTGGGTGGAGTGAAGGAGAGAATAGCCAGGAAGCTGAGGGTGGGAGATTGGCTGGCTGAGGTCTGGCTCATCACAGTGTGCCTTTCTCAGGGTGACTACGAGAATGTGGTGCCGGATCTTTCAGAGGATGACGGGATCCATTACTCAGAGCTGGTGAGGTTTGGTGCTGGAGAAAGGTCCCGGGCGCGTGAAGACGTGGACTATGTGACCCTCAAGCACTGATGCCGGAACCAGCTGTGGTGAAAATGCCTGGGGCAGAAGGAGCCACGGAAGTCCCAGAGTGTCCCCAGCTGCTGCTAAGTCACACCCCCCCAACCCAGTCACTGTGGAGAACCTTGTGCTGGCCCAGAGCCAGACTTCCTTCTTAGTACTGGTAACCCCCACCCTCCAAAAAGCCTGTCCCACCCTCTGCTGTACACCCAGCCCCAGCTGTCTGCCACCATCTACCCACTCCCAATCCCTGCCCCAGCTTGCTGTGTCCCTGCTGGGACCCACATGTCAGTAAGTTTTCTTCTTCCCTTCCCTCTCCACCCCTACCCACTGATTTTAAGCTCAACTTCTGCCCTTCGGGGAATCCCGAGGAAGGACAGAAATGAGGTAGTAAGAGGCACTGTCTTCAGTTGGCTTCTTCCCAAGAAACATGACTACCAGCATGCAAGGCTTCCACAGAGAGGATGATACAGCAGCGGCCCTGCCCTCAGGTCCCAGGAGCTGAGCAGACACCGATGAGGACACACACCATGGACAAAGACCTGCACAATAAAAGTGGTGCAGATGCCAGTTCTAAGAATGAGCGAATTCTTTCTTATCTGTGGAGTCAGAGTGGGGGCAGGGAGACGGGGGTGACACTGTAGAGGAAAGGGAGTCATGGTTATTTTGTGATACACTCCGCAGGTTGAAGGATCTGTGGTCTTGTTGCCTGGCTTTACAGCTGGACCAGCATGGGTTTGTGTCTTGGTTCTTCCACTTAAGCAGCTAGGGACCTTTGTCAGATTTTGCTAACACTCCAGAGCCTTAGTTTCTGCATCTATAAAGTGGAGATGCCACTCCATAACATGCAGGTGGCTCAAGACTTTTCTTTTCTTTTTTTCTTTTTAGCTAGTGGGGATGGAACCAAGGTCCTTCACACTGAACTACATCCCCAGCCCTCTTTTATTTTTTGAGACAGTACAGCAAGTTTGGTCTGGTCTTATATATATTGCAGACACATTACAAAAGGTCTAGTACAGAAACCAGAAGTCCCTAAAAAAACAGATTCCCATCTTTTACTTACATTTCTTCAAGCATGTAAAAAAAAGGAAGCCGATTTAGTATTCACAGCTATTCTCAAAAGGGGACCCACCAAATTCTTTCATATTCACAGTTGCAAAAAAACTCAAAGGACACTTGCCCAGAGAAACCTCACAGTTGTCCCGTCATTCACGGTCACTCTCTTCCCAGTTCCCTGTTGTATTCAGTGATTCAGATGTTCCAGGTGGGTGTTCCTAGTCCCTTTCCCTGCTCAGGTTAAACTCTCTCCACGCATTCACCTGCCCAGCCAAGGGGCTAAGGCCGCCCTTTTCTCAGAAGCAGAGATATGTGCTTAACCAACCATCAAGGTGATGAACATACAATATGGACTGGGGCATATAGGTTCTCTAGAAGTGCCACCTTCCTTTCCTGCCCTCCCTTCCTGTCTCTGCTCAATTCTAGAATTGTAATTCTTAGAATTATGGCAGAAGGATCCTCCGCTTTTACCGCCAATCCACTTTGTTCCTGGTTTGAGCTCCTCTGAGCACCATTAATATTGCAGGATTTTGTAAAGTATTTGAATAAGAGAAGGTTTTGGGTTTCTGTACCTAAAAGTGAAGCTCAGTGTCATTCAGTCATCCATTCATTTTATAAGGATGGACAGACATTTACTGAGCACTAATTACTGCATCCAGTTCAGAGTCTGTTGTTGGCTCTGTGGAGACAAAAAAACGATGGGACCCAGAAGGTCCCATCTTGGAGACCATTCTTGGAGGTCTCTAGTGTAGTCCAGGGTCTCCAAAGGTTCTTAGTGCAGCAAACCCTGGAAGCAGCTGAAGGAAGCCCCAAGCTTGACGAGCCCTGGCTCAGGCTCCTGGCAACCATCGGGTACCCTCCCATCCTGTCCCCGAGCCCAGCTGCTGACGTAAACTGACTTTATGAGCCATTGACCATGAGATGTGGCAGTCAACAGACATTGCTGAGGCGTGAAGAGCAGGTGGCCAGGAAGCTGGGAGACCCAGGACTCCAGAACACAGGCAGCCTCCACCCCGCCCCTCTGCCCTGGAGGTCTCACCGTCCTCCAGGGCCCAGAGCAACTACTGTGCATCATGCACTGGCAAACTGAACCAAAATCTTCACTCTCGGGGCTGGGGATTTAGCTCAGCGGCAAAGCGTCTGCCCGGCAAGCACAAGGTCGTGAGTTCGGTTCCCAGTACCAGAGAAAAAACAAACAAACAAAAAAAAAACAAAAAAAAAAAACCCAAACAAAAAACAAAAAACAAAAAACAAAATCTTCACTCTCCTAAGGCCAGTATCCTAGCACAGAAGCTGGCAAATACAGTGTCGAAGAGTCACAGGGGATTTGAATGAACACAAGGATGAACACAGGGCAGGGAGGTGTGGATTCAGATAGAGGAATCACGAAGTCCCTCTGAGCAGGTGACTCTGGACAGGGACTGAACTGCCGGGTGGGTGGGGTCAAAGCAGAGATCCGGAAGACCCGTTGTCTGCTGAGAGCTCTGCTCCTCTCCCAGCACTTGTCACGGAGGTAACATGGCACTCTGATCCCCTTCTCAGTTCTCTTAGTTTCTCAGTGTTCCCAAAGACAAAATACTCAACAGCAGGTATTAAATACTTCTATGTTCACAGAGAGGTGTCTACTACCATCGCCTTGGGCGAAAAAAAGCAATCTCATAACCCCGAGGTCTGAGGAGGAAGTTTGGTACTTTCTTTGGAGGGAGGTGTTGCTATGTAGTTCAGTGTGAAGGACCCCATTAGCCAAAAAGTAAAAAAGAAAAAAAAAAGTTTCAAGCCAGCTGCATGTTATGGAGTGAGAGGAGCTGATTATGGGTGACTTGGAATCTGGAAGGGCACTCTGGTGACCAACACATGCCGCTAAGAAATCTGAAGCTGAAGGACGGTGATGTCACTTTGAGGTGGCAGAGAGACAGAGACAGAGAGAGACAGAGAGATACAGGCACAGTCTGAGGTAGAGACAGAATCTTGGAGACAGAGAGCTTTCATGCACCACATCTGGTGGGGGGGGCGGGTGTTTCAGGACTGTTTTAAATTTTGCTTGAGGAGTCTTCCTGGAAAGACAAGAGGACCCCTCCCCCACGGGGAGATGAGTGGCCAGCTGGATCCCCAGCACTGAGATGAACAAGCTAAGCAACCCAGCCTTTGGTCCTTGGCTGTCTTTACACCAACCCAGACCCACTGCCCAGCCTGTCTCCACAGAGCACATCCCCATGTCCTCACCCCAAAGCCCAGGGAGCAATCAGCTTAGACATTCATGCCCCTCAGAGAGAGGCTGAATGGGGACCACAGGCTGATTGCTCCAGGGCCAACCACAAGATTCCGGCTTGTCCCTTCCCCTTTCTTCTCCCGCCTTCTGCCAACACTGCAGAGGTCAGAAACCACTATCACAGAACCAGACGGGAAAGGAAAGAGGGGCAGACGGGCCCTGTCTTGGGGAAGGGGTGTCTGCAGCCTGCGCAAGCTGTCCATTGGGATGATTCTATCCTTAACTCACTTTAGTATTACTACATGGAGAACTGGATGGCTGAAGTCGCAGGAGAACGCTGTGACAGAGAGGTGGGCTGACACGAGGGCTGGGGGGTCTACTGGTGCCTTCGCCCAGCAGGAGGGAAGACTTGGTCTCCGGGGCAGGAGTGAGCAGGCAGTGGGTGAGTGGGAAGGGCACAGACCTGTGTTCTGACCACAACCCATAAACCCTGCCCCATCAGGGCACTGACTGTATAGACCTCATCCGACCAGACAAAATCCCCATTCCTACCTGCACCCCCTTCTGTGTCCCAGCATCTTCTCGGACCCCCCACATCCTGCAGCCCAGCCTCAGTTCCAGCCTGGGATGCCCCATTAGCTGCTCACCCAAGCTGCTAGTGCCTCAGCTAATGGCCCTGCCACCCCGCCCTTCTCTCCCTTCCAGCTCACTGCCTATTCCGGGCATCCTCTGGCAGCTGGGTGAGTGCACTCCTGAGCCTCAGAAACATCTGGCAGCATCAAGAGGTGAGTCCTCTTTCTGTGGTTCCTCCCTTCACCTACAACTATTTCCCAGACTCCCAGGTCTTCCCACCCAGGGTGAGCCCTGAGATCTCAGGCTGTCCCCCAGGACACTGATTCGACCTGGCTTACCCCTGGGCTCTCCCCTGAGAACCCCTTTGCCCATCCCTCTGCCTGGTGTACCTTGTATCCAGACTCTGACTTCTCCTCTTCCAAGATAGGGATCCACATTATGGGAAGCAGCTCCTCTTGCCAGGGAATGGGGGAGGGAGCGGACTCAGGATTCTGACCCCATGCCCACAGGTTCTCTGCCAGCCCTGCGCTGAACTTGCCCTCCTCTCTCTCCCCAGAGTCTCAGGAACTGAGAGGTGGTCCCTCCCTCTTCGGGCACAGCACACCTGCATTCCGTCTTTCTCCCTTACACCGAAATCGCTCCCTTCCTCATAAGGGGTCACATGGTGTAAAGACAGCCAAGAACCAAAGGCTAGAAATCCTCGTTTCCGGTCCAGCCTCTACCAGCTCCTGCTGTGGGCCTCCGCTTCCTCGACTGTCTCCTCCTGCTGGTGACACTCCACGCTGTGGGGAAGCCAGAGTAGGATTCCAAGAATCCCACTCCTCCTGCCCTGGTTGGCAATCCGAGGGGATCTCAGGAGCAGTGGTGGCCACCGCCTTCAGCCCCATGGACTTGTCCCCGCAGCTCTCCTTCGCCTTCTACGTGGCCGCCTTTGCGCTGGGCTTCCCGCTCAACGTGCTGGCCATCCGAGGTGCGGCGGCGCACGCGCGACTTCGCCTCACCCCCAGCTTGGTCTACACCCTACACCTGGGCTGCTCTGACCTCCTGCTGGCCATCTCTCTACCCCTGAAGGCGGTGGAGGCCCTGGCCTGGGGGGCCTGGCCCCTCCCAGCTGCCCTCTGCCCGATCGTTGCCCTGGCCCACTTCGCCCCCCTCTACGCGGGTGGTGTCTTCCTGGCTGCTCTGAGCGCTGGGCGCTACCTGGGGGCCGCCTTCCCTCTGGGCTACCAAGCCCTCCGGAGGCCACGCTATTCCTGGGGTGTGTGTGTGGCCATCTGGGTCCTGGTCCTCTCTCACCTAGGGGTGGTTCTCGTATTAGAGGCTCCGGGAGGTTGGTTGCACAATAGCACCACCTCCCTGGGCATCAACAAACCGGTTAACGGCTCCCCTGTGTGCCTGGAGGCCTGGGACCCCAGTTCCGCCGGCCCCGCCCGCCTCAGTTTCTCTCTGCTGCTTTTCTTTGTGCCCTTGATCATCACGGCCTTCTGCTATGTGGGCTGCCTCCGGGCGCTGGTCCACTCGGGCCTGAGCCACAGGCGGAAGGTAAGGGCGGCCTGGGTCGCTGGCGGGGCCCTGCTCACATTGCTTTTGTGCCTGGGACCCTACAATGCCTCCAATGTGGCTGGCTTCCTGAACCCCGGCATGCGAGGCCCCTGGAGGAAGTTGGGGCTCATCACAGGGGCCTGGAGTGTGGTACTCAATCCGCTGGTGACAGGCTACTTGGGAACAGATCCTGGCCGGGGGAAGATAACTGCAGCAAGAATGCAAGGAGGGCCATCCCAGAAGTAGCGGCCCCTGCCGGGAGGAAGGGCCATGGAGCGGAGCCCGGTTGCTTGTCCAGGCCCCGGCCAGAACGGCAGGACAGCCTCGCCCAGAGCCACTCGTGGGAAGAGCTGAGCCTGGAGAGGCAGCATCTCGGTCCAGAGAGAGAGCGAAGGCCAGGAGCCGGGCGCAGGCGCAGGCGAGGTACGTCCCCAGCCTCTGTCCCGTGCCCACGTCCTGACTGCCGGTCTGCTGGCGGACTACGAGCAGGCCTTGTGCTCACAGTATGGGGGAGAGAAGCTTGCTTCTAATCTGGAGGTTTGCCGCCCCGCTGGTATACTTACTGTAAAGAACATTTTAATTTCCGGAGGCCTGAGGGAAGATAATGATGCTGTCATACCATTTGGAACTCACAAGGGGGCAGCATTTGAACTGCAAACGGAGCTGGCAAGGTAACCTGTCCTGGGGAGGGCTACAAGCTGCCGCCCAGGGCAGTTGCAAACAGTGTGGAGTCCCTAATAAGTGACAGGTACCATACTGAATGCTTTCCGATGACTACTGTTTCATTTCATCTTCACACTGTATTCTCCCATCTTTTTATTTGTTTGTTTCTTTTTTAAGAGACAGTATCTCACTATGCTGTCCAGGCTGCTTTCAAATTCCTGGACTCAAGCAGTTCTCCTACCTCAGCCTCTCTAGTACCTGTGCATACAGAATAGCTCTGTGGCTCACAGAACTCTTCAGTTTAGCCAGGTGACACTGTCCAGATGGGTAGATGCCAGGCAGAGGGGGCTACCGCTGATTAAAATCCACCCTATGGACTGGGCGTGGTGCCTGTAATCCCAGCCCTGGGGAGGCTGAGGCAGGAGGATCACTGTGAGTCCCAGGCTCGCCTGGGTTATTAAGTGAGTTCAAGGTCAGCCTGAACTTCATAATGAAATCCTGTCTCAAAAAAGTAAAAAAAAAAAAAAAAAAGA